CAGCAGCAGAATCCCTCCCTTTACATCTTTCCATACGATAACAAATCCGAGAAGACTATTACCATGCTAGAGGTATCCCTTTCAGGGTGAGACAACTTCCACAAAGCAAAGTAGACACACTCCCACCCCTATAGACAATTCCTGGTCCTATGAGGTCCCTGCACAAACAATGTGTGAGGGCTGAAGAAAAAGTTGCCGTCAGCAAGGGTAAAACGTAAAATAAGCAGAATTGCACCTAAGCTATTATGGCCACCTCTTTCCACTTCTCCTTCTCTATCCCCCTCTCCCCGACACCCCAGATCTTTAGTTAATGGCAAAACAAACATCTCCATTCTTTATTCCTCATGCTTCCATGGGCATAAAGGATTTGCGGTTTATTCTAGGCTTATAAGAATGAGGATGAGAGAAAAAAGAATGAAGATGGAAGAGAAAACAGAAACAAATCTCGCTTTTTTTTTTTTTTTGGGAGGGGGACGGAGTCTCGCTCTGTCTCTCAGGCTGGAGTGCAGTGGCACAATCTCGGCTCACCGGGTTCACACCATTCTCCTGCCTCAACCTTCTGAGTAGCTGGGACTACAGGTGCACGCCGCCACGCCTGGCTAATTTTTTGTATTTTTAGTAGAGATGGGGTTTCACCATGTTAGCCAAGATGGTCTCGAACTCCTGACCTTGTGATCCGCCCGCCTCGACCTCCCAAAGTGCTGGGATTACAGACATGAGCCACCTCGCCCAGCCGAGAAACAAATCTCAATGTGAGGATATAGCACTACAGACTAAAAGCACTAACAGAGTTACTAAATGTAACTAAACCAGTATTTTAAAGCAATCAAGTTTGTCGTGTTGGATAATGAGATGATTTAATAAATCTTTAAATTCAATGATAGCCCCTCTGGTGGGACCTCATATTTTAGGCTCTAAATTTCTTGGGAATCTATGAATTATAGCTACATACACTAAGTATCCTCCTGAGAGACAAAGCTGTAATATGCTCTAACTTGCATTTTTTTTTTAAGAGACAGGGTGTGGCCAGGCGTGGTGGCTCATGTCTGTAATCCCAGCACTTTGGAAGGCTGAGGTGGGCAGATCACTTGAGCTCAGGGGTTTCAGACCAGCCTGGGCAACATGGCAAAATCCCGTTTCTACTAAAAATATAAAAATTAGCCCAGTGCGGTGATAATTCTGTATGTAGTCCCAGCTACTCAGGATGCTGAGGCAGGAGAATCGCTTGAACCCGAGAGGCAGAGGTTGCAGTGAGGTGAGATCATGACACTGCCCTCCAACCTGGGTGACAGAGGGAAAAAAAAAAAAGACAGGGTCTCACTCTGTTGCCCAGGCTAGAATGCAGTGGCACCATCATAACTCACTGCAGCCTCAAACTCCTGGGCTCAAGCAGTCCTCCCACCTTGGCCTCCCAAAGTGTTGGGATTACAGGAAAATACTGTATCTGGCTATATGCATTATTTTACAACGTACTTCTTTAGAGGAAGGACTACTTGACATATTTATGGGCCATAATTAAAGGACAAAATTTCTAAAACAATTTATCCTTATAGTGATTGATTTAGGACACTTGTCAAAGATGTCCATCAAGCTTTAGTAAATCATTTTCTTGCAAAATCTGGCATGAATTTTGGGGCTCAGTCACTGAAACGGTCTTTGATCTGCTTTTTGGCTGGGGAACTATTTCAGCGGAATAGAAGGATGGAGAAGAGCTGCACTCTGACCCCTAAGGCCAGCGCTGCTTCACTCACATAAAGCCAGCTGCAAAGGTGTCGGATAGCAAGGGCGCTCCGCCTCCATATGCAGAGCTTGTTTCTCCTAACCAGACCTTCTTGCCAGGCCTGGTGCTCTCAACCACCTATAGAACAGAAAAGTATTCATGGTAATTGCAAAAAAGCTGATCTGTGGCTTCAACTGTGGTGTTGAAGATTAACAACATTCAAAACTTTGTATTCCTAGACCTACCCATCCTATATGGTTATAAAATATGTCCACAGTCATTTAATGGGAAATTTTCTTTTACTGAAGTAGTAGGCTGTGGAAGGAATATGAAGTGAACCAACCCATTCTTATCATCTATGAGAGTTAATTCTACTAAAGGCTATTGGAAATATTTCAAGTTTCTAATCACACACATGGGGTAAGACCCAATGCTAAGGGGGAAACTAACAGTGGATAAGTCATAATACTTGTTCTCTAAAATTAGAAAAACATGTAAATATACATACCTATAGAATTTAGAACTAGCTAGCCTATAAAATAAGGATTCTGGTTTTACATTAAAAATGTTAAAAAGACTATTACCTGGAAAACTTTTTGCACAGATGAAATAAAAATGTCCAATACATCAGGATTTAGAAAATCTTCTTCGGTAGCAGTTCGTCCATTCAAATAGTAGCTAAATTATACAGAAAATATTCAGAAAAAAATAACAAACTTTATTTTCTGCTTTTAAGCTAATTGCTGACCTTATTCTTCTTCTTACCTCTCCCGCTCACCTGTTACTAAAAAAGGTAGAAGTTCTACTAGGGAAAGACAAAGATGGAAGGGGGTTATGAGGAGGAATCCATTCTATGCAAGTAACTAGAAATCAGTTACTCTGTCTTGAAAAAACACAGTGGCAAGTACATGTACTCCTGGATTACTGGTTCTTTGGCAAGCAATTGGTGTTAGCTACTTATATGTTCCACGGGTTAATTGGCACTGTTCTTCTGTATAAAGTGATCTTTATAGAAATTACTACATTATTTAAAATAACTTTAAATTTTCGTTTTATTAATATTAAAATTGGAGCACAGTGCTACTTGAGACACTATTTGACTATTTGTTTCCTATTTGAACTGCAGTCAATTGGCAGTTAAATGGAACTAACTTTTTGAATACTAGATAATAAATAAAGCTAGCCTTACTTTCCTAGTATTAAGAATAGGAGACATACTTACTGATGCCATGTAACTGAATCAATTACTTCTCCACCAGCCTTCAGGAAGCTAGAAAAAAAAAATTTAGTATCACTCAGTCATCATATGATAATACATATATATGCACAATATACGCATGAGAGTTTTATTCCCTAGAAATGGGCTGGTTACTGCTTTAGGATGAGGTAAACACAAACTTCCTAATTTTGATAGCAAATTTTATCATAGGTGCCATTTGCCTCAGATCCCTTGATATTCTGAACCTGTCAAAATTTCCTCTTTTGGTAAATCATGTATGCAGGCAGCAAATTGTTTAATAACATGTGGACTATTGAGGATTGTCTATCAGATTTTTTTTTTTTTTTTAAGAAAAGTGGTGGCTGGGTGTGGTGGCTCATGCCTGTAATCCTGGCACTCTGGGAGGCTGAGGTGGGTGGATAGCTTGAGCACAGGAATTCAAGAGACCAGCCTGGGCAACATAGGGAGACCCCATCTCTACAAAAAAAATTTTTTAAAGTAGCCAGGTGTGGTGGTGTGCACCTGTAATCCCAGCTATTTGTGGGGCTGAGATGGGAGGATTGCTTGAGCCTGGGAGGTCAAGGTTGCAGTGAGCCATGATTGTACCACTGCACTCCAGTCTGGGTGACAGAGCAAGACTCTGTCTCAAAAGAAAAAAGAAGAAAAGTAAAGTGATTCTGCATCCTCTAGTTCCTACCTCTTCAGCATCTCAGCAGTCTTTCTTCGAGGCTGACCAACGTCAGGACCATAGAGTTTTGCATTTTTGAAGGTTGACTTTCTTAGAAGTTTATGCAATTGAATAAAATCTTCTCCTAACTGCGACCCATTGATGAAAATATCAGCCTTCTTAAGGAAACTGTTAGGTTCTGAAAGATAGCAATTCTCAAAATATATATATCGAGAAATGTATTAAAAAGCAAACATACAGCAGTATATAAAAGCAACAAAACATTTTCCACATTACAAAAACTTGTAATTCAAAGTCAAGAAAAGTAAAACCAGGTCTGGCGTTACGGTTCATGCCCGTAATCCCAGCATTTTGGGAGGCTGAGATGGGAGGATCCCCTGAGGTCAGGAGTTTGAGACCAGTCTGGGTAACACAGTAAAAAATCCTGTTCCATGGAAGGAAAAAAAATTAGCTGGATGGTGGTGGTGCACCCTGTAGATCCAGCTTGGGAGGCTGAGGGAGAGGATCACTTGAGCCCAGAAGGTCGAGGCCATAGTGAGCCGTGATCATGCAACTGTACTCCAGCCTGAGTGACAGAGCAAGGCTCTGTCTCAAAAAATAAAATAAATAAGTAAAGTAAAACTCGTAGTTATAAATAAGATACTCCAGAAAAACAAAACAAAAAATTTAACTGTATAACGGAGATATGAGGGGCTATTAAACAATTTGAAGTTAATAATGAGGGTAATAAACCAATGGATATGGATATCTGGGAACTAGCCTGTATTCCATATCTAATAACTTCATTTACTTTGGGAAAAAAAGGTTTGAGACAGGGCACAGTGGCTAATGCCTATAATCCCAGCACTTTAGGAGTCTGAGGCAGGAGGATTACTTGAGGCCAGGAGATTGAGACCAGCCTGGACAACACAACCAGACAAAAGAAAAAGAAAAAATTGGCTAGGCATAGTGTAGTCCTAGCTAATCAGGGACTGAGGTGTGAGAGACTGCATGAGCCCAGGAGTTGGAGATTACAGTGAGCTATGAACACACCACTGCACTCCAGTCTGGGTAACAGAGCCAGATCTTGTCTGGAAAAAGAAAAAAAAAAAAAAGTTTGAGCAGGAAGACATGTGCTTACCCTATTACTACATTTCATCTCCCATTTAATCCTCATTTCCATTGGCTGATATGTGGAAAAAGCACTCTATGTTTTGAATACATGTGGCGAATCATGAAGACTTATAGTTAAAATTTACAAGTTCTTTACAAAAAAAGAGTGAAGACAATCAGGAGCTTGACCCACGTAGGATTCTATACGGGCAGGTTGTAGACCACTGGGTCCAGAAACGAAGGTTGCAATGGGGTTACTGAGATTAGCTGACACGTTTGAGAAACTGAGGAAAGAAGGGATGGATAAAACAAACTGCTGACTTCCCAGTTTTGCTGAGTCCAGTCTGCCAAGCAAAATAGGGTTAAGTGATTCTGAAAATCTCAAGGGAATTTAGGAGCTGGGAAGGTTGCTGACTCCAGCTGGTTCTCACCTCAAATGTAACATAAACTGGGATTGGCAATAATAGGTTCTGGAATAGATACAGTAGGAGTTTTCTGCCATATGCACTTCCAAAAGTTGCATTGTTGAGCACTTGCAAGAATGTGCCCAGGCAGAAGTCTATTTGCTAATATTAAAAAGAATGTCATAAGAAATAATGCTAGTGGGGAATCTCCTTATTAATGAATTGTTCCCTGGGGTACTTACCATTGCCTAGTTCCCAAGACACGTTATACCTCTTGGAAGAGCAGTAGTCCAGGAGCAACTGAGCATTAGAACTGTTCCACTGCAAATCTGCTGTTCTTAATAATGCATTTAGGCCAAAGATCAAGTCCAGTCCTGAGCAATTTGCAAAAGTATACAGCATATCTACAGAGCTTCCTAAAAGAAAAATGTCACAATTTAATGGTTAGATTGGCACCACGATGAGGAAGGCCTCCAGATGTGCTTTTCGTAATGAATACCTATTTCTGTTGTTAAACTGAAGAAATTCTAATTCTAACAAATGATTATAATTATGTTTATGAGACAACAAAATTGGACAAATTTTAAAAAATCAATCTCACTTCATTTGCTCCAGCTGTTGAATGAAGTCCCATGGAAGAGACCAGAAGCTCTGGTCTGACACTTAGGTTTTGTTCAAGTGATATCAGGAGAATTGGGGAAGCCATAATTTATAGCTCAGTGCTCCATATGCATGGCCAGACTGTCATTAGTTAGCATAAACCCCACTCTTTGTAATCTAAATATCTCTAGTCATAAGTTTTAAAATATTTTAATAATTTTCATTATATTTAGAACAATTTTAAATCCCTGTATATGATTTATTAATTTAAAGTGAATCAAATTTTACATTAAAAAATTGGCCTAGAGTTATAGGACTGTGGTTTCCAAACTCTGTGCAAGGCAAGTTGGGGAGCACCAGTGAATGCATGGGTACAGTGGCAGGATTTAGCAGCTAAAAGTGCAGGGCACCTAAACTTGAACTTCAGATAAGCAATACATAATTTTTAGTGTATGTCCTATGTAACCGTTAAGAAATACTTAACACAGGGGCCAGGTGCAGTGGCTCATGCCTGTCATCCTAGCACTTTGGGAGGTCGAGGCGGGTGGATCATTGAGCCCAGGAGTTCAAGACCAGCCTGGGCAACATGGCAAAACCACATCTCTACAAAAAGTACAAAAATTAGCTGAGCATGATGGTAAGCACCTGTAGTCCCAGCTAGCTACTTGGGAGGCTGAGGTGGGAGGATCACCTGAGCTCAGGGAGGTCAAGGCTGCAGTGAGCCATGATCATGCCATTGCACTCCAGCCTGGGCAACAGAATGAGACCTTGTCTCAAAATTTAAAAAAAAAAGAAAGAAAAGAAAAATAATTAAAATGAAAAGAATTATTTATCTGAAATTCAACTCTAACCAGGCAATACTATTCACAGAGGCACTATAGGCTCTTTTAAGTTTGCAAGGGAAAAACATCAACATCTACTGGACAACGTAAGACCTATTACTATTAGGTGTAGTATTAAGACCTACTACTGTAAGGTGTAGACCTTACAATTTAATAATCAAAACACAGGTATTTTTTATGGCCTAGGTATGCTGTAAAAAAATTTTCTGTGATATTAAGGTACCATAAGTTTGGGAACGTCTGTACTCTGCTTTTTAAACCATTAGCTGTTCTATTATCACATTTTGAGAGTGGCAATAATTTAATTTTAAGTGTTATCTTTAAATTGATTATCATATGCATAATACGTCCTTCCAATTTTCATGTATATCTACAGTCGTTTGTTAAAGAGTAATTCATTCCTGAACTTTTGTAGTTTAAAAAAAAAAGACCTCTATCTATCTGGCAAACTTACACCCTTTCTCCTTAAAAGTGGCTTTGTTTTTGTTTTGTTTTTAAGTCTTTGGCCTGAATAACATAGTATAATATTAAATATTAGCTATTTAGACTGGCCACGACGGCTCACGCCTGTAATCCCAGCACTTCGGGAGGCTGAGGCAGGTGGATCACCTGAGGTCAAGAGTTCGAGACCAGCCTGCCCAATATGGTGAAACCCCATCTCTACTAAAAATACAAAAATTATCTGGGTGTGGTGGCATGCACCTGTAGTCCCAGCTACTTGGGAGGCTGAGACAGAATTGCTCAAACTCAGGAGGCAGAGGTTGCAGTGAGCTGAGATCACACCACTGCATTGTAGCCTGGGTGACGAAGCAAGACTCCATCTCAAAAAAAAAAATTAACTATTTAATATTAGCTGTAAAGACCACTAGGCAGAAACAACTCTTGCAAGCTGCTTTAGGTGTTTTGGTATTTGCTGTGTCACCCACTTCCATAAACGGCTGCCTACCATCAAGGAATGACAGACATTTGGGTTTGAAAAGCTCCCTAGAGTCCTGTGACCCAGAATTCTACTGGATCTTAGAGCCACAGTTTTGGGCAGTATGGAGGCTTTGGGATCACCAGCCCGTGCTTAACCTCCACCCTCATTTTTCTAGGAGGAAACTGAAATCCAAACAAGGTAAGTCTTTGCCCAATATCACACAGCCATTTGGCGGTAGTACCATTACTAGAGCCTGTTACAAGGAGTGAGTGACCTGCTTTTATATTTCATTATAATAGCCTTACATATTATAGGCTTTTATATTTCAAAATCATGTTGTAGAAAGTGCCCTGGATCAGGAATCATAAGACTTGAGCTCCAGGCATAGCTCTCCCACTTACAGACTATAATATGATCGAGGGTAATATCTTTACCCGACAGGAACCTCAGCTATGGATCCTGTCCATATGGGACAAGCACCATCACATGCCTACCTGTAAAACCAAGGTTGAAATGAGACATGTGAAAACTGTCTGTAAATCACAAAAAACCCTTACAGTTAAATAGCACTTTGTACTAGCCCTGTACAAAGATTATAACATTTTCAAAAAACCTGGAATGCTTGCACTCATACTTTACCCTTCCTCCATTTCTTCATTCTTCCAAATGTGCTTGGAATTTACATAGCTTGAAATTCTATTATACAACCCCTATAACATAATAAACTGTAACATCTCCTGGAATAGAGGCTATTGACGACTGCATTCAAATCCATTCTTTTTTTTCTTTCCTTTTCTTTTCTTTTTTCTTTTTTTTTTTTTTTCCGTGACAGAGTCTCGTTCTGTCACCCAGGCTGGAGTGCAATGGCGCGATCTCGGCTCACTGCAACCTCTGCCTCCTGATTCTCCTTGCCTCCACCTTTGGAGTAGCTGGGACTACAGGTGGATGCCACCAAGCCTGGCTGGTTTTTGTATTTTCAGTAGAGACGGGGTTTCACTGTGTTGGCCAGGCTGGTCTTGAACTCCTGACCTCAAGTGATCCACCTGCCTCGGCCTCCCAAAGTGCTGGGATTACAGGCATGAGTCACCATGTCTGGCCACATCTACTCGGAAGAAAAAAAAAAAGCCACCTAGCCTACTCCTTCCCCAAAATAGGAAGAACAATTTAAAAACTTACAATTCTTTATCTTATTCCCAACACTTTTCCAAACTCTCATCTCTTACTGTATAAAGAGTGGAGAGATCCTTGGAATGAAGATAAGCAAGACGAGACATTGAAAAAAATGGCAGACTCTTTCCCTTGGACTGTACCGTGTAAGTCTATGTCAGCATCCAGTGTAGGCCTGGGTGTAGGCAACAGAAGAATGGGGTGATGAGGGGAACAGGTGGAGAAGAAGAACTACAAAGAGTTAGCTCACTCAGGATGATTACTTTAATAAGGGAGTCATCCTTTCTGCAGTCACACCCAGCATTACATCTGTAACATTGCTTCCTTTTCCTGCTCAAACAGGTTTAAAATGTGAGTCTATATTCTCATGACAAATGTTTTTGTCATCTTCTACTTAAGTGGAACACACCATTCAAGAAGCCCTGTGTTAGAAAACGTACTATATATTCTGGGACACTTGTTTTTTTGTTTTGTTTTTTGCTTTTTTGTTTTGTATTGTTTTTGTTTGTTTTTTGTTTTTGTTTTTTTGAGACAGAGTCTCACTCTGTCGCCCAGGCTGGAGTGCAGTGGCACAATCTCAGCTCACTGCAACCTCTGCCTCCCGAATTCAAGTGATTCTCCTGCCTCAGCCTCCTGAGTAGCTGGGATTATGGGCACCCAACACCATGCCTGGCTAATTTTTGTATATTTAGTAGAGCCGAGGTTTCACCATGTTGGCCAGGCTGCTCTCGAACTCCTGACCTCAGGTGATCCACCCGCCTCAGCTTCCCAAAGTGTTGGGATTACAGGCATGAGCCACTGCACCCAGTCTGGGACACCTGTTTTAAGGGTGCAGGCCACTAGCTAAGCAATGAGCATGTCCTTATCTCTGCAGCCTTTTGCTACCTCTTCCTTTGTGGTATGTCCCCATGTCACTCAGCCATTATCAACCTCAGCCACAGGTTCACAACAATGTGTGGAATCTCCTATTGGCTTCTAAAATATTTGTCACTGAAATGAGTAGATGCCCAAACTAAACACAGATTTCTGTTTCCATGATGTGCCCATGAAAACTGAAAATTTCAAGCCGGAAATCAAATGTTTACAAATACAAATAAAATTCTGTATTTGTTGTATATTTTAGCATTGCCAACAGGGTAGTCAGACTTACATTAACTAACCCAGTTGCATAGTTAGCAAAGGAAGGCATTTCCCCTGGTGTAGGAACTATGAAAGCCAAGTCTTGGAGTTGGAAACTTACCATTTTGGTAACAGAAAGATCGTGTGAAGTAGCAAAGCTGTCTTAGAAATTTAAGATAAATTGGTGTAATGTTTAATATGACCTCCCAAGACTTACCTATATCTTCTGGGACATGTGTTTTAAGAGCAAATCCACTAATTACCTAATACAACCGGGTCTTCTCCTAGCAGAGCTAGGAGAATGATTTACTACAAATGTGACCTTACTTCTGTGGTTCTGTGGTACATGTCATTCCTTTAATGGGGTCTGAAATGGCCCTGCCTTATGCCAAACTCCATTCAATAATTAATTATACTTATTAAAGTGTCACAGTAGATCCCCCTCTTAAAAATGCAAAAAAAAAAAAAAAAAAGTTTTTTTAGAGGACAACATTAGCTATTAGCATATGAGCTATTTTCTGATTTCTTATGGATCACCTTTTTTTCTGTACCATATACATAAAAAATGTATATAAATTTGAAATCCATCTGATACATTGAACTCCAGGTAGTACATAGCAAAATCTTACAAGGATAATTTATTATCTTTGTAAGTATATAAATATACTAAAGTATAATTATTATTATACTTGAATAATGTTAACTAACCAAAACAAGTACAGTAACTTCAAGAAAATTTATTTTCAAAAGTCAAAAGAACAGTTTAAAGTATCTGAGCAGGTTATTTCTTTAACTGAGATATGGGGCAACATCATTCCTTAGTTGGGTATAAACATGAACCTTCAGATAAAAATATATTTCATGGTTAAAAAAGGATTGTGGCCAGGTGCGGTGGCTAATGCCTGTAATCCCAGCATTTTGGGCGGCCAAGGTGGGTGGATCACCTGAGGTCAAGAGTTCAAGACCAGCCTGGAGTCTGGTCAACATGGTGAAACCCTGTCTCTACTAAAAAATAGAAAAAATTAGCCTGTCATAGTGGCAGGCACCTGTAATCTCAGCTACTCAATAATCAATAATATGATCGGGGGTAATATCTTTACCCTACAGGAACTGAATAATCAAATATTCTTCATAATGAATAGGAGGCTAAGGCAGGAGAATCTCTTGAACCCGGGAGTCAGAGGTTGCAGTAAGCCAAGATTGCGCCATTGCACTCCAGGCTGGGCAACAAGAGCGAGATTCTGTCTCAAAAAAAAAAAAAAAAAAAGGATTGCTTGTTTCACTTGCTTTAAAGCCCCATGTGACAATGTCATCCTAATTTGAAGACTGGAAGACTGTTTTAGTGACTGAAAATACACTAATGGGTAGCTGAGCTAGCTCTGTGTTTGCAGAAGCCACAGAGGAAACAAAAAGAGAATGTTGCTTGGTGGCCAAGGCTGTCTGGAGTGACTCAGGGCCCTCCTGCCTAATGCTCTAAACCAATGCATAGTGGGGGTTATTTCTGGGAGGGGGACGGACAGCAAGGTATGAATGATGTTCACATTTTGCCCTTTATATGTCTGTATTTGAATTTTACATAAGGAATATATTCATGTTTTCCTTGACTGCCTAGTTTTTTAGAGCAGTGAAGGTCGTTGTTAGATCATGAATGATTGATTTATCTTTCACTCTGTGGCTACTAGGCAATGTCAGATGAAGAAAAAAAACAAAATAAGTTTTGAGTTCAGGATTTCCTGTTTGGGAAATGCTTCAGTATTTTCAGCTTTATACAACTTCTGTAGGACTTGCTAGATCGGTGCCCGAGTCCAATCTATTCAAATATCTTTGGGGCTGGAACACCTCTAGGGTGCCTTTCATTTCTTACTCGAGTAGGTGCTGTTCTTGAACTTTTTCTGGTAGTGTTCTCGGAGTAGCACTTGCTCCTGGTAGGGCCATTCCGACCGTAACTTCTCCTCCACATCAGGAGGGATGGATCCAGATTTGCAAATATCTGCAAGTGGGAGAGATCATTTAGAGGATCTGTTTTCACAGTGAGCAGGCTGAAATCCCATGTGTTTATTTAGTTTGCTATTTATGTGACTAAAGCAGGATAATTAAGTTCTGGTTATGAGGTAGGAGAGCAGAGAAAAGATATATTCTGTAACACGTGTCAAATTTGCCGGCTCATGAATCACCACAAAGAAAACAACCAAGGGCAGGTTTCCTAAGAAATATTGAACACACACTGAACATGGATATGTTGGACATAGCTCCAAGTTATTTAACAATTCAGAGGGTTCCTCAGAAGCTTAAAATTACTGGCCGGGCGCAGTGGTTCACACCTATAATCCCAGCACTTTGGGAGGTTGAGATGGGTGAATCACTTGAGGTCATGATTTCGAGACTAGCCGGCCAAATGGTGAAACCTCGTCTCTACTAAAATACAGCTACTCGGGAGGCTGAGGCAGGGGAATCGCTTGAACCCAGGAGGCAGAGATTGCAGTGAGCCAAGATCGCGTCACTGCACTCCAGCCTGGGTGACACTGGACGACAAAGCGAGACTCTGTCTAAAAAAATTTTAAAAGCTTGACATTACCAGAGAACTCTAATGAAGACAACACAGTGCAGTTCTCTTCAGGTTCACTTTCAAAATCCATAGCAATTTGTTTTACATGGACTGTATCTGCAGTGTGGTGATTTCCTCTTGCCATCATGGGAGGTAGGATGGGTGGGAACCGTTGACATTTTTTCCCTTTGAATTTGGTACCATCAAAACTTCCGGGACCACAACATGTGCACTTGAGAAAAATCCACCCTGGCCAGGTACAGTGGCTCACACCTGTAATTCCAGCACTTTGGGAGGCCGAGGTGGATGGATAGCTTGAGCTCAGGAGTTCGAGACTAGCCTGGAAAACATAGTAAAACCCTGTCTCTACTAAAAATACAAAAAATTAGCTGGGTGTGGTGGTGTGTGCCTGTGGTCCCAGCTACTCGGGAGACTGAGGTGGGAGGATGGCATGAGCCTGGGAGGCAGAGACTGCAGTGAGCCAAGATCCCACCATTGCACTCCAGCCTGGGTGACAGAGCCAGACCCTGTCTCAAAAAAAGAAAGAAAAAAGAAAAATTCACCCCATCCTGTCAGGCAGATAATTTCTTTATCACAAGACAGCAGGGTCACTGGGTGCTGGCTGCCAGGGCCGGCTGACTGACCGATGACTTCCTTTCTGGAAAGCTGCACATTGACTTGCTGGTGGCTGATGCCTCATCCATCCCTGGGCTCACAGAGGATGTTTCAGAGGAACTTGGATAACCCCAGTTTCCCCCACCAACCATCCTCCTAGACACAGGATGAAGACAACTGATGAGCAAAGAACAGTTTCCTGTCTAAACGTATGAGATCTTGTGGACACACATGGCTGGTGGGAAAGGGTCAAGTCTAAACAGAAACTAGGTTAGGTATGGTGGCTATGCCTATAAGCCTAACACTTTGGGAGGCCAAGGCAGGAGGATCACTTGAGTGCAGGAGTTTGAGATCAGCCTGGATCACATAGAAAGACTGTCTCTACAAAAAATTTAAAAATTAGTCGGGTGTGGTGGCATGCACCTGTGGTCCCAGCTACTCAGGAGGCTGAGGTGGGAAGACTGCTTCAGCCCAAGAGGTCAAGGCTGCAGTAAGCCATGATTGTGCCACTATACTCCAGCCCGGGGAACAGAGTGGGACTCTGTTGAAAAAAACCACCCCCAAAACAAAACACAAGCTCATAAACATTCCAACCTGGTATTCAAGGAGAACCCATCTGTCATTTTTCTATTTTCTCTAATTACTATTCTGTCAATTTAGCCCCAAATACTGATGAATTGCTCTAAATACTTCGTAACTGGAGAAAATAAACAGAAGGAAAAGATATAATATATGAAATACTCAAATATTCCTCATAATGAATATATACATTATATACATGTTATTATAATTCAATGGTGTATACAATATGTTCAGTATTTTTTTCTTTTTAAATTATTGAAAAAGAGAGACAGGGTCTCTCTATGTTTCCCAGGCTGGTCTTGAACTCCTGGGCTCAAGTGATCCTCCTGCCTCAGCCTCCCAAAGTGTTTGGATTACAGGTGTGAGCCACTGCGCCCATCCTAGTAATTGTTAAGATATGATTTAACTACCATTTGATGTCTGATAGCACTTCTGAAAGACAGGACAAATTTTCATGGCTCCCTAGGGCAGGTTTCTCAGGTGAAGGCCACAGACTTTCAATATCAGAATCCCCTGACAAACTTGCTCAAATCAGAATCTAACGTTGGAGCCCAGAAGTCCAAATATTTAAACTCACCCAGGTGATCATGGATCTCTTTCACCCACATTCTATTTTTAGAATAAATATCCTTCAGTCTATCGTTGTATCTTCAGCTAGAAATACTCTCTTTAGTTTGATGCAATTCTACCCACTTGCTCTCTCCAAGCAGCTCTGTCCTTCAGCTACAATCACTGTTCTATTAATATTTACAGTACGATGAGCTCTCAGTTATATCCAGGACATCTTTTTTTTTTTTTTTTTTTTTTTTTTTTTTTTTTTTTTTACTGAAGATGACAAACATCATGCTGAGGAAACCTGCCCACTGCCTCCTCCTTTTGTTCAGGTTCCTCCAAAGGTCAGATGAGGGGAGAGGAAGTTAATCTCTTATTAATTGTTAGGTGTGAGAAATAACAGTTTTCTCAAAGCATTCTCATGACAGACTGACGTTAATTAAAATATAGAGTTAATCCTTAAAAATTTTCACCCTGGTTGACTTGAGATTGCCAGTAACTTCTCTCTTCAAAGGTTGATTCCTTCTTGGGATCGAAAATTAGGAAGTCTGTCTTGGTGCCACCAAACCTCAGGTACGCAGGGGACAAGCCTCTGGCCAAGGTACGAAGCTTTGGAGAACTGTTAGGAAGACAAGCAAGAAAGTATAACTATTTTTTCCAAGACTATCTAGTCAAACATTCTTACTTCCTTCTTTCCTGGTGGACCTAT